TCTAGTAAATAGTGAGCAGCCTATGGCAGCGTATGGCTGCTCACTGTTAAAAAAAAACCAAAAAACAAGTGTCCCTCCTCCCGTGCCCCCACCCGTGCTGCGCGAGTGAGAGCTTTTAAACTGAAAGGGGACCTATTGCCCCCCTGGCCTCCACCTCTGAATGGTGGGTGGCGGCCCTAAATCAGAATAAGGGGGAGGATCTATTGTCCTTCCCCCCGGCCCTCACCTACAGGTCCAGTACTTGGTTGTGGGTGGGCTGCTCGACTAACTTAGGTACCGAGTGACAGGAGGTCAGGTACCTGGTTAGTCTCCCCCCGGGAGGGAAGATGTGTGACGAAAGCAACTTCACCACTGGGTCTTGGAGGTGACTACTTGCCAGCCTTTTATCCTGCGACTATGGCCCCTTTAATTTATTTTGTCTGAAAGACCCTAATTGTGCCTATTGGGACTTGACACAAGGTTCTTCAAACTTTCGAAGTAGTCGAAGTGGCACTTCGGATACAGTCGAAGTAGTCGAAGTGTCCAACATTTGACATTCGAACACGTGGCGGTGGCCATTTTATTTAGTCGAACGGTTTCGGCGGTGTTTTGACAATTCGAACGGTACTTCGACCATTTAAATTAGACCGACTGCACAGCCTAATTCTCTGGAACTGTTTTGGGCATGAAATCATGCGTGCGGTCGGTCAAAAAGAGACTTCCAGGAATTTCCTAAACCCCTGCTCTGATCTGAGTGATTTTTGAATATGCTTGTCACCCAGATCAGGGCTAACAGGGGGTGTGTTGTGTTTTGGGGTGTTTTCTAGACTTTGTATAAATGTGGGGATTTTCTGCCTGGGGATAATTAAGCTAATGTATTAGCTACCTTAATTATATCACAGGCAGAGGGGAGGGATTGTTTACTGCATGTGGGAGTGTCAGACATTTTTACATTGTTTTTATTTGGTTTGTGTCCCTTGTGTCCCAGTTCTCCATCAGGTCCAGAAGGAATTCCTGTACCAATAAACTTTCAGACTTGTTCTACCCTTCATGAAGTTTAGGCTCATGTTTGGGGGATTGAAGAACTACATACACTCTGGGGATTGCTATAATCACTATACACCCCTGAGTATAATCACTAAGCTCTTGTAAGAGCTGTTCCTGCTCTGCTCTCTGAACTAGGAGAGGTCTACCCACTGGAAGCTGGATCCTGATCTTGGGTCCAGGGTGGGTGGAGGACAGCGAAACCCCAACCCAGCTGCGGTGGTTCGTGGGGTCTACATTACTTATGGTGTCTGGTGGAGTGCTTTGAGCCCTCGGTAAGCACTAGGAGCATCGATTGACGGAGGTACCTGGTCGGGGTGCAAGGCGGTCCATCACATAGTTGCATATGGACACATTTTTCTAAATTTTTTGACAATACTGGGAGCAATGATATTGGGCGATAGTTAGAAACCAAAGTAGAATCACAAGGTCCAGACTGGTTTTTCATTTTTAGATTATTAAGGTGTTTCTTCATGACACTAATAGGTACATGTCTAAAATTTTACTTGTCTATATTAGGTCTTTGCAAATTTAGTGGGACCTGATCCACATTTGTAGTTTCAGGATGTGTGTCATTTATTAGCTTAGCAATCAGGGCAGTGGAGCATCCGACAAAATAATTGTTAAAGGCATTTGCTACATCTAAGGGAAGTTGCAGGGTTTGGTTATCCACTTTGAAAGTGGAGGGTTGGGAGTGGAATGGGGGAGTTTGTAATTTAATTATGACTTTCCAAAAGTTTCTAGGGTTTGATAGGTTATTTTTCAGATTTTCACAGAAATATTGGGCCTTGGCCAGTTTGGTTTGTTTTGTTCATATATTTCCTCATTGTCTATATGCACAGTGATCGTTCATAGAGCCGGTACGCTTGAACTTTGACCACAATGAATCTGGAAACTGGTACATTTGGATGAGGTCAGCTGTGATCCAGGTCATATGTGCTCCTTTTACTCTCACCTTACGCAACGGGGCATGCAAATTCCAGACTGAAAGAATTCAACTGCACAGTCTAGATCTGGGATAATGTTTAATCTGTGCCATGGGAGGTTCTTGATGTCATTAAGAAAGGATCCAAGATTACATTTTTTGAAGGACCTGGTGATTTTAACCTTGGGAGAGGATTTAGAAACCCTTTATTTTGCACACGCAGTACATTAAACAGGGATCACTGAAACTGTTAGGGAGAACACGGGCCTCCTGGATTCTATCAGGAGAAGTGGAGAGAATCCAATGGAGCGTTATGGCTTTTAATGTTTATGCGAATTAAACACCCTACTATCTTTACCTCCAGCTTTAATGCAAAAAAAAGAGGGGAGTGGCAATACTAATTTCTGATAGAATTAATTTTGACCTGATATTAGAACAAAAAGATATAGAAAGCAGGTATTGAATCATTGTTTGTAAAATTAACGAAAACACATACAAATTGGTCAATATTTATGCCCCAAACATATATACTCAGCGCTTTTTAAACAAAATATCAAATGTAAATACAATTCTGAAAGGGAAACTTTTAATAGCAGGGGACATGAATGTAGTGGTGGATGTAAAATGGGATAAAACAAACCAGATATTCTCTACTGGATACCTGCGAGATGAGATCTGAAAAGATCTTTCCTAGACATGCTAGTTGATTACAATTTATTTGATACATGGAGAGTTCAGCACCCCCAAGATAGATATTTCTTCTTTTTCTCGAAAGTTCACAAAGCTTTTTTGAGAATTGATTATTTTATCACAGATTCAAACTACTTACGACACTAAAATAGATCTAATAACTTGGTCAGAGCATGCTCCAATAACTGTTGAGATGGGGGAAGAGCAAGAAACAGTAATACGATCATCTTGGAGGTTTAACGAACAAGTTTTTAAATCAGAAGGAAACTGTAGATACTTGTATGACCAAATTAAGGAGTTTATATTATTGAATGATAACAGCGAAGTATCAGTAGGTAGTCTGTGAGGCGCTTTAAAGAGTTACATAACTCGCCTTAAAGGGACACTATAGTCATCCAGACCACTTCAGCTCAATAAAGTGGTCTGGGTGCCAGGTCCCCCAGGTTTTAACCCTTCAGATGCAAATAATGGAATCTGGTATATTGGCTCCTAAACTATATGTTCTCTCTATTGAGCCCCTTGTATCATTAATTAGACAATCAAAGGAGATAGAGGGAATTAAAAAAGTAAAACAACAATATAAAATCTCATTATATGCGGACAATGTAATTCTCACTCTTACCAGCCCAGAAGTTTCAATCGTTGCCACTCTTAAATTTATATTAGACTATAGTAAGATTTCAAACTATACAATTAATCTAAGTAAATCATATGCAATCTACTTTAATCTATTTTACTCAATTTTGTGCAGTCCAGTGGAAGCAGAGATGAAGCTGTGTGCCACTTAGTGATGCCAGAAAACCAGAGTGATGTCATACTCTGGCTCTCTCCTGCCCCGCCCACTCACAATGTGAGCATCTAAATGCTTCAGGGGGGACAGTTGTCAAGCTCTTGGGCCCCCCATGAAAATGGGTTCACTCAGCCACTCTGGAATCATTAAAAGAAGCAGACATCCATTCCTCCAGTAACCAGATGAAACATAGTTCTGGGAGTCAACTGATTTATTTTCGACCATACACTGCTTTTATGCACAGACCCCTACATGGGGTCTCCAATACAGTAACACAGGGGTTTCAATCCCAAGATCCACCTGAGAGATAATTGCATGGGAAAAACATATAATTCAATTATCTCCCAGGTACAGAAAATCCATACAAAATATACAGTACCCCAAAAGTGCCCCCACCATAACCAGGAACCCTACAAAAGTTTTATCCCCGGATAGCCCTGATCTGAGTGTATACCATATTTAAATATCTGAGTGTATAACATGTTTGGTGGAACGGGAATGCCAACAGGATAAAGTTTTGACCGGCCGGACACAAGGTGCTAGCCCAAAACAGTTCCAGGGAAATAGGTGTCCTGGGCAGTCTCTGTATAAGAATAGGTTCCTGTGCGAACACCATGCAAGGGATTCGCTTTCAGTTTCAGGGTACGAATGCTCTTCCTGTTCGGTAGTTCAGATCTCCTGAATGTCGTTCGCATAGGTGGTCAGGAAGTAGAATGGGCAGTGGTCCAATCTTTAGTAGAACGGGCACTGCCCAGCTGTAAAGAGTTCCAGGCACTCAACGACCAAGTGCCGCTGCCCACGTTCGGGAGACAAGATGGCCGCAAATCTTTTGTCGACCACGTGTGTTCAGTTATACGAAATGACGGCCACCCAGGGGAAAAATTCATTAATAACTTCCCTTGCGGTTTCGCACTTAAGTTGCTGGTGTGAACATTTTAATGGGGCACTGGGGTGGACCTCATTCAGGAAATTAATGGAGGGAGTTCGTATAAAACAGCTCCTGAACGGAAAAGGGAAAACACACACAAGAGGGGGAAAACATACGAAATTGGCGGTAGGTTCCGCCACAAGGGCTAACAAGGCAGCTAACAGGGTTCTTTGGGGTGGCGTTTTTTGAAACGCATTGCATAGTCCATAGATATACAGGTGGGGGAAAAAAATAGAACGTTCAAATTCAAGACTTCAAAATACCAAAAATATTGTTTTATTTTTAATAGATATTTACAACAGTATACAGTCAACTTTTCAGCCATTTTACTTATTGCATGTCTGATTAAAATAAAGAATTTATTTTGCTTATTTTAATGGAGAAAGGAATAGGAACGATAACTGTGGCAAGAAAAAGGGGGTAACCCTAAGTAAGTAATAACTAAATAGGAAAGTGCTTGCCTACAGGTGTCAATTGGTTAAAACATAACATTTAATAGATTTGTTTAAAAGCTTGCCGTTGAAAATCAACAAATAAACCAAAAATTATTATTAAATTCTAAAACTATTAATAGTGTAGAGCAAACGACAAAGAGAAAAATGTATAAAGAAAATTAAAAAAATAAAGAAAAGAAAAAAAAAATTGTAGAATAATCCTAATTATTTCTGAGATTCCAGCATGAGTCTAAGTGTAAGTAATTAGTAGTGTAAATTTAGAAATGCCTGTGAAAATGAAGCTGGAAATTCTAAGAGACACAAAGTATCAATGGAGTAAAATATAACCACTAACTATAGTTTAGTATAATATTGTATCAGTTTCCCTTGAAGGGAACTATCAGTGTAACTGTGCTAGGTTATACACTCTATAGGAGAGGAACTCAGCCTGAAAATCTCTTGTTAGATACAAAAATCGGATTGTTCAATGCATGACTCCTTTCCCAAATAGTGCTGTTCACCGATCATACTGTAAGTTGCTAAACTGTGCCTTCAAAGGCACCTAATCTGTATAAGAAACAGTCTGCTAGTCTAAGGTAAGCACTAATATGGGAATAGAAAGTCATGCAAATGCCCTGCCTATCTCTCTTGCAGAGGACATAATGTCTAAGATCTAATAAAAAAAAAACAAATGTCTTAAAGTAATCGTGATAGAGTATAGTGCAGAGCAGAGCCCTGACGAGCGTTTTGCCAGTAAGGCGATTTATTTATTTATTTTTCTTTATACATTTTTCTCTTTGTCCTTTGCTCTACACTATTAATAGTTTTAGAATTTAATAATCATTGTAACAGAACTATGATTTTGCCCATGCTTTTTGCCTGGACTTAAATTACAACGCTGCTGGATGTATCACACAAAAACCGAATGGCTATTTTTCGTGGAAATGTTCCTACTAGAGGATACAGCCCAAAATACCGAACATCGTACCACCCAGGGGAACAGTTAATTGATAATATAACTCCCAGCGCTTGTGGAGCCGTTCGTACGAATTCCTTTGTGCTCAGGTTAGATGGCCGCCATTTAGGGACTTTACACGTGTTCGCGGCCATCTTACACATGAACGGCGGTGTTTGCCTGTGAACGCATGGAACTAAAAACGGATACGCAAACAGGTGAACACCGCTGAGACCTCCAGGAGCTCGTAAGTTCGTGCCAGAACTACCGAACAACCGGCCGTTCGGTAGTTTTGTTTAAGCTCTCATAGGGATTCCAGCGAACCCCAGGATGACTGTGGATGGCAAGGGGTTCATGGAGTTTTAATGCACGAACGGAGACCGACCGCAAGGCCAAAACTTATGGAACTCTTTTCGGCTAGAAAACCTGTGCGGTCGGTCAAAACTTCAAAGATCCATAACTCCCGAACCCCTCAATCGAATGGGCTGAAATTTGGATATATTGTTCCCCTGAGTGAGAGCTATCAAGGTGCTGGACTTAAAGGTGTACCCCCTGTTTGTGGGGTATATCCAGAATGGGGTTAAAAATGGGGTCTGTTTTAATTATGTTATATGTTATCTGAGGGGAGGAGACGTGGGGGTTGAACCATGTATCTAATTGGCTGTTGTATTAATTATGTGGGTGTAGCATTTCAGAGGGCACCATTGCATAAAAGGAGACCCCTGTCAATAAACATCAGTTCTACTTGACCCTTCAAAACGTAGCCTTGTCTCGTTCTTGGAGGGGATTTATAGTACCGTTACTCTGCCTCATTTTACAGCACTGCCGGATTATACACTTGGATATCGTGGATGGGAATAAGAACTCCATTACAGTACAGCAGCTTGCACAGAAAAGGACGTCTCCAACGGCAGATACCCCTCTCCAGCTGGGTAGCCGTTACAATCATTTTTGGTTTATTTGATGATTTTCAACGGCATGCTTTAAACGAATCTATTAAAATGTTATGTTTTAACCAATTGACACCTGTAGGCAAGCACTTTCCTATTTAATTACTAGTTATTTTGTTTAGTTTGAGTCGTGTGTGCAGTCAATCACACTTTATATTAGACTTCTACATGGCAAGAACAAAAAAAAATCAGCTTGGGTTGCATTGCACTTGAATAGTTCTGTGGAGGCCAGTAGCAAATTTGAACCCTACCTCTTAATTCTGATTGATCCATGGATTGGGCTGCTTTGTAAACTTTTGGAAGATCTTTTAAGAGCTTTGAATAAAGAGCCTGTACACCATACTGGAAAGACAAAGATATTGTGACCTCTAACTTCAGTCTTATATTTTGGTGATTTCACAGAGCTCTGAGCTATCTGAACACTGTTTAATCAAGTTTCCATGCAGCATCATGCTTAAAAATACTGATTGGTGAAGGGAATAACATTGATTATAGTCAAGGGGTAGGATATATATTCAGACTGGTCAGAGTGCCCATGATGAACCCTGTACACTGCCAAAAGCGACTCCAATGACTGGACCATGGAGCAATGGAGGAAGATTGTCTGGTCTGATGAATCCCATTTTCATTAAGATAAGGTGGATGGTTGGGTGCGCATCATTTACCTAGGAAAGAGATGGCAGCAAGATGTCTAGCCGACAGATGCAGTGTAATGCTATTCCATGCATCCACTACCCTCTCAGTAAAGTAATACTTCCTGATATTATTTTTAAACCTTTGTCCCTCTAATTTAAGACTATGTCCTCTTGTTGTGGTAGTTTTTCTTCTTTTAAATATAGTCTCCTCCTTTACTGTGTTGATTCCCTTTATATATTTAAATGTTTCTATCATATCCCCCCTGTCTCGTCTTTCCTCCAAGCTATACATGTTAAGATCCTTTAACCTTTCCTGGTAAGTTTTATCCCGCAATCCATGAACCAGTTTAGTAGCCCTTCTCTGAACCCTCTCTAAGGTATCAATATCCTTCTGAAGATACGGTCTCCAGTACTGTGTACAATACTCCAAGTGAGGTCTCACCAGTGTTCTGTACAATGGCATGAGCAATTCTCTCTTTCTACTGCTAATACCTCTCCCTATACAACCAAGCATTCTGCTAGCATTTCCTGCTGCTCTTTTACATTGCCTGCCTACCTTTAAGTTATCAGAAATAATCACCCCTAAATCCCTTTCCTCAGATGTTGAGGTTAGGACTCTATCAAATATTCTGTACTCTGCCCTTGGGTTTTTACGTCCAAGATGCATCATCTTGCACTTATCCACATTAAATGTCAGTTGCCACAATTCTGACCATTTTTCTAGTTTACCTAAATCATTTGCCATTTGGCTTATCCCTCCTGGAACATCAACCCTGTTACATATCTTAGTATCATCAGCAAAAGACATACCTTACCATCAAGACCTTCTGCAATATCACTAATAAAAATATTAAAGAGAATGGGTCCAAGTACAGATCCCTGGTGACAAGTCCAAGCTTCGAATATATTCCATTAACTACAACCCTCTGCTGCCTGTCACTCAGCCACTGCCTTACCCATTCAACAATATTGGAATCCAAACTTAAAGATTGCAGTTTATTGATAAGCCTTCTATGTGCAACAGTGTCAAAAGCCTTACTGAAATCTAGGTAAGCAATGTCTACTGCACCACCCTAATCTATAATTTTAGTTACCCAATCAAAAAAATCAATAAGATTCATTTGGCATGATCTCCCTGAAGTAAACCCATGTTGTCTCTGATCTTGAAATCCATGTGTTTTTAGATGTTCATCAATCCTATCCTTTAACATGGTTTCCATCACTTTCCCCACTACTGAAGTAAGGCTTACTGGCCTATAGTTGCCCGACTCCTCCCTATTACCTTTCTTGTAAATGGGCACAACATTCGCTAACTTCCAATCTTCTGGGACTACTCCTGTTAACAATGATTGGTTAAATAAATCTGTTAATGGTTTTGCTAGTACACCACTAAGCTCTTTTAATAGCTTTGGGTGTATTCCATCAGGTCCCATTGACTTATTTGTCTTTACTTTTGACAGTTGAAATAGAACCTCTTCCTCTGCAAACTCACGTGCAATAAATGACTCATTTATCCATGTTCTCAACAGAGGTCCCTTTCCTTCATTTTCATCTGTAAATACAGAATAAAAATATTAATTGAGGCAGTTAGCTAGACCTTTATCCTCTTCTACATACCTTCCTTCTTTTGTTTTTAACCCCTTAAGGACTGGACCTTTTTTGCGATGTTGTAAATTTGCGACCAGGCATATTTTTACACTTTTGTGGTGTTTGTGTTTGGCTGTAATTTTCCGCTTTCTCATTTACTGTTCCCATACAAATTATATATTGTTTTTTTCAGGACAAAAGGGGCTTTCTTTACATACCATTATTTATATAAACTCATGTATTTTAATTTAAAAAAAATAAATAAATATGATGAAAAATTGAAAAAAATACATGTTTTTTTACTTTTACTTGAAAAATCTTTTACTCATCTACAAAAGCGAATGAAAAAAACTGCTAAATAGATTCAAAATTTTGTCTTGAGTTTAAAAATACCTAGTGTTTACGTGCTTTTTTGCTTTTTTTTGCATGTTATAGGGCTATAGGTACAAGTAGGATATTGCGGTTTCAAAACATACATTTTAAAAATTTATCAATAGTGACATTGTAACACTATTATCTGTCATAAATCTCTAAATAACACCCCACATGTACATATTTTTTTAAAGTAGACAACCCAGGGTATTCAATATGGGGTATGTCCAGTCTTTTTAGTAGCCACTTAGTCGAAAACACTGGCCAAAGTAAGCATTCATATTTGTTTGTGTGTGAAAAAAGTAAAAAAACTAAATTGAACGCTAATTTTGGCCAGTGTTTGTGACCAAGTGGTTACTAAAAAAGACTGGACATACCCCATTTGCAATACCTTGGGTTGTCTTCTTTTGCAAATGGTATACCATCATGGGGGTAATTCTCATTCCTGGGCTACCATACGCTCTCAAAGGCAACGTAACCAACCTGGCCATTTTCAATGTAAAAATATTTGACCCATATATTTGACCATGTAACTTTCAAAAATGCTATAAAACCTGTACATGAGGTGTACTGTTTTACTCGGGAGACATCGCTGAACACAAATATTAGTGTTTAAAAACTGGAAAACGTATCACAACAATTATATCATCAGTAAAAGTGCTGTTTGTGTGTGAAAAATGCAAAAAAAGTCATTTTCACTGACAATATCATCGCTGTGATATGTTTTACTTTTTTGAATCACTAATATTTGTGTTCAGCGAAGTCTCCCGAGTAAAACAGTACTCCCCATGTACAGGTTTTAGGGTGTCGTAGAACGTTACAGGGTAAAATACAGTGCTAGCAAATTAAATTCTCTGGACTTTCGGCCTGGGTTGGCAGACAGGTCCCTCAAATTGCAATCAATAAAATTACTTAATTATGTAAAAATATTACATAAATACGCATGTAGAATTTAAATATATATGCATATTTATATATTTGAAGTCTACGTGTATATTTAAATAATTATTTATGTAATTTTGTATATGGACATATGTATATTTCGTATTATTTTTATTTATTTATATATACATAGATATATATACAAATTCATTCTGAGTGTATTTTGATATAAATATATATATATTAATTTTAAAATACAGTTAGAATAAAATTTCATATAGATATATATTTTTTTAAAAATTTTTATTATTTAAAAAAAAATTATTTAATTTAAATTACTTATTTATATTTTATAATAATATATATATACAATATATATAGTTATTATATATATTATATATATACGTGTGTAATTTAATTATAAGTGTATTTTTATATTAATATAAGTACATATTAATATAAAATACACTTAGTATGACATTATATATATGATATATAGACATATATTATATAGATATAATATATGTCTATATATCATATATACACATATATAATTATTATTATTTTTTTAATTAACACTAACTTTATTTTATTTTTTGATTTTACACTAGCAGGGAGACTGCCTGTCAGCACAGACAGTCCCCCTGCAGGCAGACACATGGACACCTATTGTGACCATGTGATCGCTGTGTTAAGCGATCACATGGCCGCAGGGGTCCTAATTCAGTGTGGGGAGACTGTCTGGGCTGCAGGCAGTCTCCCCACAACCGGAGCAACACTGATCGCCGCCGGGGGAACGACGGTGATCAGGTAAGTAACTCAGACCGTTAGGACGGTTCAGGACCGTCATCGGTCGGCAAGGCAAAAATGCCGATGACGGTCCTGAACCGTCCTCGGTCGCGAAGGGGTTAATCTAACTAATCCTTGTTTTACTTTTCTTTTCTCATTTATGTATCTAAACAATGTTTTGTCCCCCTTTTTTACTGACTGTACTATTTTCTCTTTTGTGAGTGATTTGGAAGCTCTTATAACTTGCTTAGCCTCTTTCTGCCTAATCTTCTAGATCATTTTGTCTTCCTCACTCAGGGTTTTTTTATAATTCCTAAATGCTAACTTTTTGTTTTTAACTATTTTGGCCACATGTGCGGAGTACCACAGTGGTTTCTTGAATTTTTTGCGTTTACTGACAAGCCTAATGCAATTTTCTGTTGCCTTCAATAGTGCAACTTTTAAATAATCCCATTTCTCTTGGACTCCATTTAAATTGTTCCAGTCTGATAATGACTCCTCTACACATATTCTAATTTTAGAAAAGTCTGTTTTTCTAAAGTCTAAAACTTTTGTTTTTGTGTGGTGTGACTCAGTCACTGTTCTTATATTAAACCACACTGACTGATGATCACTGGTCCAAAACTCTGACCTGTCTGCTGATGAAGCAGCAAAGAAAGAGGGGGAGGAGCCTCATCACTGTGAATACTATGCTGCCTATTGCATTTTGATTGGTTAATGTTTTCACTTTTCTTTACTGCTATGTGGAGTTAGTAAAGAGAGTTTAATGCAAAATAGGAAGCCTCCTAATCATGAATGTCACTCCCCATAACTTTATTTCCTTAAGAATTTAGTGCACTGATTACTTTTTCCAATTCTACCACATGTACATTGTTTTGCTGGTTCTACAGTTGCAAGAAAAAGTATTTGAACCCTTTGGAATGATATGGATTTCTGCACAAAGTGGTCATAAAATGTGATCTGATCATCATCTAAGTCACAACAATAGACAATCACAGTCTGCTTAAACTAATAACACACAAAGAATGAAATGTTGCCATGTTTTTATTGAACACACCATGTAAACATTCACAGTGCAGGTGGAAAAAGTATGTGAACCCCTAGACCAGGGGTAGGCAACCTTCGGCACCCCAGATGTTGTGGACTACATCTCCCATAATACTCTTACACCCATAATGCTGGCAAAGCATCATGTGAGGTGTAGTCCAAAACATCTGGAGTGCCGAAGATTGTCTATGCCTGCCCTAGACTAATGACATCTCCAAGAGCTAATTGGAGTGAGATGTCAGCCAACTGGAGTCCAATCAATGAGATGAGATTGGAGGTGTTGGTTACAGCTGCCCTGCCCTATAAAAAAACACACACCAGTTCTGGGTTTGCTTTTCACAAGCATTGCCTGATGTGAATGATGCCTCGCACAAAAGAGTTCTCAGGAGACCTACGATTAAGAATTGTTGACTTGCATAAAGCTGGAAAGGGTTATAAAAGTATCTCCAAAAGCTTTGCTGTTCATCAGTCCATGGTAAGACAAATTGTCTATAAATGGAGAAAGTTCAGCACTACTGCTACTCTCCCTAGGAGTGGCCGTCCTGTAAAGATGACTGCAAGAGCACAGTGCAGACTGCTCAATGAGGTGAAGAAGAATCCTAGAGTGTCAGCTAAAAAATTACAAAATTCACTGGCAAATGCTAACATCCCTGTTAGCAAATCTACAATACGTAAAACACTAAACAAAAATGGATTTCATGGGAGGATACCATAGAGGAAGCCACTGCTGTCCAAAAAGAACATTGCTGCACATTTACAGTTTGCACAAGAGCACCTGGATGTTCCACAGCAATACTGGCAAAATATATTTTGGTGATTTCACAGAGCTCTGAGCTATCTGAACACTGTTTAATCAATTTTCCATGCAGCATCATGCTTAAAAATACTGATTGGTGAAGGGAATAACATTGATTATAGTCAAGGGGTAGGATATATATTCAGACTGGTCAGAGTGCCCATGATGAACCCTGTACACTGCCAAAAGCGACTTCAATGACTGGACCATGGAGCAATGGAGGAAGATTGTCTGGTCTGATGAATCCCATTTTCATTAAGATAAGGTGGATGCAGGGGCGGCGTGTCCATAAGGCAGCGCAGGCGGCCGCCTTAGGGTGCACCGGTTTCGGGGGCGCAATATTTCAGTGAGCGGCAGGAGGGAAGCTCTCCCTCCTGCCAGGCCACCGTCTGGATCACCTGCGCAGCGTGCGGCAGTGCTGTGATCAGACGCGACGAGGGAGCTCTAACCTCTCTGCTCTGCTCCCTCGTGCGCTGTCTGCTGATGCAGCGGGAGCCGGAATATGACGTCATATACCGGCTTCCGCAGTATCAGAAGGCAGCCCGCGAGGGAGCAGAGCAGAGAGGTTAGAGCTCCCTCGCCGCGTCTGATCACAGCACTGCCGCACGCCTCCCAGCAGCCCCACTGGACCCCAGGGAATGATTCATCATCCACACCAGCTCTCCAGGTAGGGAGGCTGGGTGGAAAATGTTTATTTATTAAAATAATTAGTGTGTGTATGCGTGTCTGTTTGTCTGTGAGTGACTGTCTGTGATTGAGTGTGTGTCTGTCTGTGTGTGACTGTGTGTGTGTGTATGTGTGTATGTGTGCCTGAGTGACTGTGTGCCTGTGAGTGACTGTCTGTGATTGAGTGTGTGTCTGTGTGTGAGTGTCTGTGTGTGACTGTGTGTGTGTGTGTCTGTGTGTGAGTGTATGTGTGCCTGTGTGTCTGTGAGTGATTGTCTGTGATTGAGTGTGTGTCTGTGTGTGAGTGTCTGTGTGTGACTGTGTGTGAGTGTATGTGTGCCTGTGTGTCTGTGAGTGACTGTCTGTGATTGAGTGTGTGTCTGTGTGTGAATGTCTGTGTGTGACTGTGTGTGTGAGTGTATGTGTGCCTGAGTGACTGTGTGCCTGTGAGTGACTGTCTGTGATTGAGTGTGTGTCTGTGTGTGAGTGTCTGTGTGTGTGTGTGTGTATGTGTGCCTGAGTGACTGTGTGTCTGTGAGTGACTGTCTGTGATTGAGTGTGTGTCTGTGTGTGAGTGTCTGTGTGTGTGTATGTGTGTCTGTGCCTGAGTGACTGTGTGCCTGTGAGTGACTGTGTGCATGAGTATGTGTGTCTGTGAGTGAGTGTGTCTGTGAGTGTATGTGTGTGTCTGTGAGTGATTGTATGAGTGTGTGTGTCTGTGAGTGCTTGTATGAGTACTGCATGTGAGTGTATGAGTGTGGCAGTGTATGTGTGTCTGTCAGTGTGTGTTTGTGAGTGTCTGTCAAATCAGTGAGAGTATCTTTGCCATTGAGTCTGTGTGTGAGTATCAGTGTGCCTGTCAATGAATGAGTGTGTGTCAGATCAGTGAGTCTGTGTGTTTGTCATTGAGTGTGTGTGACTGTCAGTGTGTATACACCACTGAGTGTAGTGTGGCGGAGCGCAGTACAGGAGCTTCTGTTTCCTGTACCCGGCCAGACTGACCGGAGGTGCTCACTGAGAGAGCACTCCCTGTCAGTCTGGCCAGGTACAGAAAATTGAAGCTCCTGTAGGGGATATCCTCCACTCGGCAACGCTACAAGAGAGGCAGGAGGCACACCAGGAAGGGGAGTGCGACCACTAAAGGGGTGGGGGGTGCACCAAGGGACAGGGAGGGGAGGGGAGGGGAGAGAAACACCAAGGGACAGGAAAAAGAGGGGAGAGCTTAGAAGAACACTAAGGGACAGGGAAGGGAGGGGACCACTAATGGACGGGGAGAGGGGCTGGTTAAGAGGCACATAGGTGAAGATGTTATTTTGGGGGGGGGGTGGAAAGATACATCTTCGCCTATGTACCCAAAAATCCTTGCACCGGCCCTGGGTGGATGGTTGGGTGCGCGTCATTTACCTAGGAAAGAGATGGCAGCAAGATGTCTAGCCGACAGATGCAGTGTAATGCTCGGGCAATATTCTTCTGGGAAACCTTGGACTGTTACTTTGACATGTACTAATCTACCTGTCAAGCTGCAGACAGGTCAAGGAGTATTAGGATAGAGTAGTGACCATGAGATTTTGCAGCAAGTAGATCATTGGATGCTTTGGTCAGTGCCGTTTCCACAGAGTGCTCAGCCCGGAAACCAGACTGAAGCTGGTCTAGCAGAGAGTTGGACTCGAGGAAGTTTGTCAATCTCGTATACACAACTCTTTCAAGGATCTTGGATGCAAAAGGTAGTAGCTTTATTACATTTTATGTGGCTTTATTACATCTGAATTGGGACTTAACATCCATTTCTATAAAATGTGTAGCCATGCATTGTTTATTAGCTACTAAAATCATAGAAACATAGAAACATAGAATGTGACGGCAGATAAGAACCATTCGGCCCATCTAGTCTGCCCAATTTTCTAAATACTTTCATTAGTCCCTAGCCTTATCTTATAGTTAGGAAAGCCTTATGCCTATCCCACGCATGCTTAAACTCCTTTACTGTGTTAACCTCTACCACTTCAGCTGGAAGGCTATTCCATGCATCCACTACCCTCTCAGTAAAGTAATACTTCCTGATATTATTTTTAAACCTTTGTCCCTCTAATTTAAGACTATGTCCTCTTGTTGTAGTAGTTTTTCTTCTTTAAATATAGTCTCCTCCTTTACTGTGTTGATTCCCTTTATGTATTTAAATGTTTCTATCATATCCCCCTGTCTCGTCTTTCCTCCAAGCTATACATGTTAAGATCCTTTAACCTTTCCTGGTAAGTTTTATCCCGCAATCCATGAACCAGTTTAGTAGCCCTTCTCTGAACCCTCTCTAAGGTATCAATATCCTTCTGAAGATATGGTCTCCAGTACTGTGTACAATACTCCAAGTGAGGTCTCACCAGTGTTCTGTACAATGGCATGAGCAATTCTCTCTTTCTACTGCTAATACCTCTCCCTATACAACCAAGCATTCTGCTAGCATTTCCTGCTGCTCTTTTACATTGCCTGCCTACCTTTAAGTCATCAGAAATAATCACACCTAAATCCCTTTCCTCAGATGTTGAGGTTAGGACTCTATCAAATATTCTGTACTCTGCCCTTGGGTTTTTACGTCCAAGATGCATTATCTTGCACTTATCCACATTAAATGTCAGTTGCCACAATTCTGGCCATTTTTCTAGTTTACCTAAATCATTTGCCATTTGGCTTATCCCTCCTGGAACATCAACCCTGTTACATATCTTAGTATCATTAGCAAAAGACATACCTTACCATCAAGACCTTCTGCAATATCACTAATAAAAATATTAAAGAGAATGGGTCCAAGTACAGATCCCTGAGGTACCCCACTGGTGACAAGTCCAAGCTTCGAATATATTCCATTAACTACAACCCTCTGCTGCCTGTCACTCAGCCACTGCCTTACCCATTCAACAATATTGGAATCCAAACTTAAAGATTGCAGTTTATTGGTAAGCCTTCTATGTGCAACAGTGTCAAAAGCCTTACTGAAATCTAGGTAAGCAATGTCTACTGCACCACCCTAATCTATAATTTTAGTTACCCAATCAAAAAAATCAATAAGATTCATTTGGCATGATCTCCCTGAAGTAAACCCATGCTGTCTCTGATCTTGAAATCCATGTGTTTTTAGATGGTCAACAATCCTATCCTTTAACATGGTTTCCATCACTTTCCCCACTAGTGAAGTAAGGCTTACTGGCCTTTAGTTGCCCTACTCCTCCCTATTACCTTTCTTGTAAATGGGCACAACATTCATTAACTTCCAATCTTCTGGGACTACTCCTGTTAACAATGATTGGTTAAATAAATCTGTTAATGGTTTTGCTAGTGCACCACTAAGCTCTTTTAATAGCTTTGGGTGTATTCCATCAGGTCCCATTGACTTATTTGTCTTAACTTTTGACAGTTTAAAAATAGAACCTCTTCCGCTGTAAACTCACGTGTAATAAATGACCCATTTATCCATTTTCTCAACTGAGGTCCCTTTCCTTCATTTTCATCTGTAAATACAGAATAAAAATATTAATTGAGGCAGTTAGCTAGACCTTTATCCTCTTCTACATACCTTCCTATTTTTGTTTTTTATCTAACTTATCCTTGTTTTACTTTTCTTTTCTCATTTATGTATCTAAACAATGTTTTATCCCCCTTTTTTACTGACTGTGCTATTTTCTCTTCTGTGTGTGATTTGGAAGCTCTTATAACTTGCTTAGCCTCTTTCTGCCTAATCTTATAGATCATTTTGTCTTCCTCACTCAGGGTTTTTTTTATAATTCCTAAATGCTAACTTTTTGTTTTTAACTATTTTGGCCACATGTGCGGAGTACCACAGTGGTTTCTTGAATTTTTTGCGTTTACTGACAAGCCTAATGCAATTTTCGGTTGCCTTCAATAGTGCAACTTTTAAATAATCCCATTTCTCTTGGACTCCATTTAAATTGTTCCAGTCTGATAATGACTCATCTACACATATTCTAATTTTAGAAAAGTCTGTTTTTCTAAAGTCTAAAACTTTTGTTTTTGTGTGGTGTGACTCAGTCACTGTTCTTATATTAAACCACACTGACTGATGATCACTGGTCCAAAACTCTGACCTGTCTGCTGATGAAGCAGCAAAGAAAGAGGGGGGAGGAGCCTCATCACTGTGAATACTATGCTGCCTATTGCATTTTGATTGGTTAATGTTTTCACTTTTCTTTACTGCTATGTGGAGTTAGTAAAGAGAGTTTAATGCAAAATAGGAAGCCTCCTGTCATGTGGTAAAATTGATCCTCATTAAATGTATCTATTTTTGTAAAATGAAAATGTGTTCACAGTAAAATCATTACCTTTGTATGATTCTTGATATTCTGGCCCATACACTAGACAAAACAAATGAAACCAGTTATTATTATTTGTAAGAAAATACAGATATATTTAATATCATATTTATAAGGTTTAATATAGTAAAGTGACAGTCATGCCGAACTTTCCTCTTCTCCACCTCTCTCAGAATCTGTTCTTCTTTTCTTTAATCCTGATCTAGTTTTTTTTAAAACAAGATCATGAAGGGTCTGCTTTGCTTTGTGTGTGCATATTTTTCCTACACCAGACTTTCTTTGACCCAAGGAGGAGTTAAAGTCAGCTTTATTTCCTGTGTCAAGGAGAAGGGTGAGTACTTTCTTTTACACAGGAACTGGAAATGACTTAAGCTCCTCCTTTGGTCAAAGAGGAGTTAAATCACTTTTGTTTCTGTTTATGCAGCCCTAGCCACACCTCCCCTGGCTTTGGCTGACACAGCCTACACAAATAAAATGGTTACATTCTCAATCAAATGTCAACTAGCTTTAGGAGTTTTCATCTATTGCTCTATAAATTTAAAGGGGCACTACAGTCACCACAACAACAACAGCTTACTGTAGTTGTTCTGGTGAGTACGCCATGTCCCAGCAAGCATTTTAATGTAAACACCACCTTTTCATAAAAAGGCAGTGTATACATTATACAGTATACATTATAGCCTAGGAACACGGCCACTCCTCAAGTGGAGGATTATCATTTGTATGGAAATATCAATATCAATCAGGGATATTTCTACTTGTTTTGACAACTCCTGAGCAACATTGTTTATATTTGCTGCTATTACATCTATAATCATGAATGTCACTCCCAATAACTTTATTTCCTTAAAAATTTAGTGCACTGATTACTTTTTCCAATTCTACCGCATGTACATTGTTTTGCTGGTTCTACAGTTGCAAGAAAAAGTATGTGAACCCTTTGGAATTATATGGATTTCTGCACAAATTGGTCATAAAATGTGATCTGATCATCATCTAAGTCACAACAATAGACAATTCAGAGTCTGCTTAAACTAATAACACACAAAGAATGAAATGTTGCCATGTTTTTATTGAACACACCATGTAAACATTCACAGTGCAGGTGGAAAAAGTATGTGAAGCCTTGGATTTAATAACTGGTTGAACCTCCTTTGGCAGCAATAACTTCAACCAAACGTTTCCTGTAGTTGCAGATCAGACGTGCACAACGGTCAGGAGTAATTCTTGACCATTCCTTTTTACAGAACTGTTTCAGTTCAGCAATATTCTTGGGATGTCTGGTGTGAATCGCTTTCTTGAGGTCATGCCACAGCATCTCAATCGGGTTGAGGTCAGGACTCTGACTGTGCCACTTCAGAAGGCGTATTTTCTTATGTTTAAGCCATTCTTTTGTTGATTTACTTCTATGCTTTGGGTCATTGTCCTGTTGCAACACCCATCTTCTGTTGAGCTTCAGCTGGTAGACATATGGCCTTAAGTTCTCCTGCAAAATGTCTTGGGAATTTGGGAATTCATTTTTCCTTCGATGATAGCAATCCATCCAGGCCCTGATGCAGCAAAGCAGCCCCAAACCATGATACCCCCACCACCATACTTCACAGTTGGGATGAGGTTTTGATGTTGGTGTGCTGTGCCTCTTTTTCGCCACATATAGTGTTGTGTTTTTCTTCCAAACAACTCAACTTTGGTTTCATCTATCCACAGAATATTTTGCCAGTACTGCTGTGGAACATCCAGGTGCTCTTGTGCAAACTGTAAACGTGCAGCAATGTTTTGTTTGGACAGCAGTGGCTTCCTTTGTGGTATCCTCCCATGAAATCCATTCTTGTTTAGTGTTTTACGTATTGTAGATTCGCTAACAGGGATGTTAGCATTTGCCAGTGACTTTTGTAAGTCTTTAGCTGACACTCTAGGATTCTTCTTCACCTCATTGAGCAGTCTGCACTGTGCTCTTGCAGTCATCTTTACAGGACGGCCACTCCTAGGGAGAGTAGCAGCAGTGCTGAACTTTCTCCATTTATAGACAATTTGTCTTTCCGTGGACTGATGAACAGCAAAGCTTTTGGGGATACTTTTATAACCCTTTACAGCTTTATGCAAGTCAACAATTTTTAATCGTAGGTCTTCTGAGAGCTCTTTTGTGCAAGGCATCATTCACATCACGCAATGCTTCTTGTGAAAAGCAAACCCAGAACTGGTGTGTGTTTTTTATAGGGCAGGGCAGCTGTAACCAACACCTCCAATCTCACCTCATTGATTGGACTCCAGTTGGCTGACATCTCACTCCAATTAGCTCTTGGAGATGTCATTAGTCTAGGGCAGGCATAGGCAATCTTCGGCACTCCAGATGTTTTGGACTACACCTCACATGATGCTTTGCCAGCATTATGGGTGTAAGAGTATTATGGGAGATGTAGTCCACAACATCTGGGGTGCCGAAGGT